GTTATGGTGCAAAGATTCATTAATAACACTTCTGATTGGTTTTATAATGTGGACGCGGCCAAATAAAGAACCGACATGATCTACAGCAAATCCTGAATGGTTTTAAGTATCTATAATATTCTCACCCTGACTTTCCATATTGTATTTTTACTATTGCGATTTTGGTCTGCATGACATCTTTTGCGTGTCGGTCCATCCTGGAAGAGGCAGATAGAAACGGTACATAAGCAAAATGTGTGTTATACAATAATATAAGTATACAATACTGTATTATTACACTATAATTATGCTAGCTGTTATTAAATCGGGCATATATGTTCCACTTGAATTACCAAACAACATTTACCGTACATCTCTGTGGTAATTACCCACAGTCTGAAGTGGATCAGGTGATTTTTTTTTTTTTTTTTTTTTTTGATTTTTTTTTTTGTGTTGAACAGCACAGGGACATAATGCTAATCCTGTCTCCTTCACTTGTCTCCTCATCTTGTCTGTTTCCTTCCCAAAGCTGACCCTTTGAATGACGGGAGTCTTTTAATTTGATTCTGTCTCAGTGAGGAAAGTAAACACGGGATCAATTGCTATTTATATGGAAATGTTGCCGGCCTCCGCCAGGATAATCTTCAAGTGAAAATAAACATATACTGTGTATACAGGATATACCTAATCGTAACATTCAACCCTTTATACAAACTGAATTGAAAGAAAAGCATTAGGGATGAACTGATTGATCGTCCGCGACCAGCCGATCAGTTTCATATTTCCGAATCATTTTTTTTTTTTTTTTTGCCAGTCGCATTTACCCACGCGAGGTGCTGCTGCATTATAGATTTATGTTGACACACAGTAGGTAACGGCACAGACATACACAACATGTGTCGGTGAGTGAAGTCCAAAATATGCTGTGAAGGAACAACCTTAAAAACATTTAGAACAACTTAACTTATTCAGACACTTATTGTATTGTAAGTAATTCCCGTACATGCTGCTCAGAGTATTTGCAGTGACAGACGACTAAGTCACTAAAATTGGCGCACCAAAGTAAAGTTATTTGTAGGCAATTTTTTCACCACTTTTATTGTAAAACGGCTCGTAAAAAAATGCAAAAGTCTGGACCTCGGTGACCTTAATGGTGGGTACGACCATGCTGATAAAACCTTTAAATGAAACCCAAAGTTTACGATTAGCTGGGAGCAGATTACCTGAGATAACAATGATCAGGGTCTTAAGGTAAACGGAGTATAGATTTAATCTAAAATGTCTCAATTTTCTTGACCAATCCCTTGTTTGCTCTCTGCCCTGAACAAAAGGCGCTCTCATATTCGGGTCACCGGTCGTCCAATTCGGTGGATCCGAACCCCAAACCCGTCGCCAGATTTCCCGTCGCCTCGTCTTCTGTTCAACTCTCCTCTGCAACCGTCTCTCTGACTTTCTCTGCCTCTTCACTCTTTGACTTTGTGAGCCCTTCCCTCCTCCACCCTCCCATATCATGTCTAATTATCGGAGTCGGTGCGAGTGTCTACGGGGAGATCCTCAATACCTCCTCATCAAAGCCTCTGTGTTTGCTTGTTTATCTCTGGCTGCTATTCTAGGCGCTCTCCTGGAGCCCTGATGAGACACAAGCCTCCACTCCCTACGGAGGCTTATACTGTAAGCTGTCGCTGCACCTACAGTCATTCAAAACACTGCCAAAGTGAGATTGTTTCTTTCCACCTCTGTTAGAAAGGCCTCTTGTCTCTCAATCTCTCTCTCTTGCTCTATCTATCTATCTATATATCTATATATATATATATCTCATCTCATCTCATCTCATATGGCTTTCAGCTGATACTTCCTCGCTGTCTCGCCACCTCAGTTCCAGCGTAATGAAAGGAATGCTAGAGGTTTGTTTCCCCATCAAAGCACCTCCCCTTGCCTCTTCTTCTTTCACCCGTCTGCCCCCCTTCCCCCCCTTCCGTGCGCAGTGCACCTACATTATTTCATGTGGGCCCTTTTCCCTTTTGACCCCGCAACCCGCCCCACACCTCGAGCACGCCGGAGGAATCCTTCAGGTGTTTCTCTCCCGTGTTAACTATCGCCCCCGACGGCCCTGTAAGATCTACCGTATTGGAAGAGCAACAAAAGCATCAGCGCCAATGAGTTGCCTTCTGGGGAGAAATGAGAAACCTCGTTTGTGGAGGATGTGAGTGTCAGGTTTTTGAGGGAGAGAGATGAGTAATGTGGCTGATTTGTCAGAGCTTATTATGGCAGTGTGTGAGGTTATTTTCTTTTCTTCTATAACTGGAAGTGTCGATGTGCAGCTGTAGGTAAGATAAGGTCACCATTTAAGTTTTATTTTCCCATTGGTGTCCATAGACGTTCGCTTGTTTATGAGGTTTTGCAGGTTGTGCATCTGGAAGTGTGTGTGTGTGTGTGTGTGTGTGTCTGTGTGTGTGTGTGTCTCCTTAGTAGGCACATATTTTGCGCTTCAAAGCTCTGTGATGGCGATTAGCGACAACGGCTGTGACAGTGTGGTATTTGTTACAGAAATAGGGCGCCGCATCGCTCAGATCTCCCCCAATACCAGATCCCAGTTGCTGTGATGGCTAAATGTGTTTTTTGGTGTAGAACAGATCTCTTTACACGCCACGTGGGATTGTCAGTGACTGGGAGATTATTGCTGCCATCGCGGATAAAGCTCCAATTTACAATAACACTATTTCCACTATAATTATTCTTATCATATTTATTCCATTTTTTGTCTTTTTTTTTTTTTTTTTTTTTCAAGAAACCCGCTCAGTGCAGAACTCCATGTAGAACAAAAATAAGTTTCTCTCCCGAGAAGTTGATTAACAGCAGAGTTGTGCCTGGTGATGGCAGGAAGTCGCTAATGACTGAGTTGCTGTGAGCTGGTTGCTATGTATGACTCGAGCCTGGGCTCTCTCATGTGCCTCCGAGTTTGACGAGCTCAAATATTGTCCCTTTTAGTGTGTCGGCTGCAGGGGAAAACAAATACTGCTTATCCTCGTTTTCTTAGAGATGCCAGAGGCCGTGTCGTGACAGAAACGGAAGGCCTAACGCGGGGGGGGGGGGGTGATTGTGGGTCTTTAGTCACAAAGGGAAATACTACCACGACTGTCCAATCACATGGTTCACAAATGGCGAAAGTCACTGAAGCATCTCCATTTCACAGTTGTAAACATTCCAAATGTTCGGATACATGACATCAGCTGACAGGAAGTCAACATTGAACCAAGCTGTCGTCTAGCATTGCAGTTCCGTTGAGACGGCCTATATCCTCTGATTTTTGCACCGGTGAGACTCAGAGTTTGGGGACTGATGCAGAAATATTTTTAGTCCACAGTCAACTACAATTGCAAAGACCCACAAACCTCACACAGGCCGCAAAGACTAGACGTCTCAACAGGAGGATTGCAGAGGATACATCTGAAGTAGAGCCCCGGGTTTGTTCCCTCCATCCAGACATTACTGTATTTATTTAACCTCTGACCTTCAACCCTGTCTTGTTGTCTCACAGCTGCCAGGATGGATGAGACGGAGAAGTACCAACAGCGGCTGGAGGCCATTGCTGTGAGTCCACACACACACACACATGCATTAATCTGTGTATAGACGAATCCAGCGACTGACGCATGTGTTGGGCTCTAAAGCGGTGGCTTCAACCAAGAAAAGACACGTTTGGGTTAATCACAGTTGCCCCCGCAGACAGACATGAAGTGGAGGGCTCCCAGAACTACTTTGAAATTGTGACGACGCCGATGTTTTTCGGACAAATAAGTCTGAATGTTAAAAGAGTAGCTGATTAACCTCAGCAGGAGTTAGCTTATGATTGATCATCAAATTCCATGATTTCTTGCATTGAACTCTGAAGAAATACATAAATAATTAAATAAATTTACATCAAAGAATACATCCACAGAGCATTCAGAGAGGTGGGGAATAAAATATTGCTCCTCCTAAAAGAGAAAAAAACTATTATTATTATTACTTATTAATCATTTCTAAGTGAATGATAGCTCACGTTTTGGTTACCACTGCTAACGAGGCTTCACTCCGGTACCAACCAAAAATCACAGCTTTAATCCCTGAGGCGCTACGTTAGCATAAGCGACCGCTGCATCCTGTAACTTAACGTTGTAGCTCCCTTTAAAGAATATACGCCGTATAACTGCATGTACCCTGCACTACACCACTAAACATTACCCAAAGCTAGACAGCCATATCCTAAGACTACCATAGAATACATTACATGAATCTTGAAACACCACCGCACAAAGAAACCTAAAATCTATATCCATCCGTCACTGGACGTGACGGTCTTTCTGAGTCCCAATCCACCCGACCATGAAATAAGGAGGTTGTGCAGCGATCTTGCCAAATAATGAGCCGTAGTTGTCTGTTTAACTCTCAGAATGCGAAGGAAACATCCGGCAGGCTGTTGAAACCGGATAAGTTTTAAGTTTTGTAGATTATACATGAGTGTAATAGACATGTTTACGAGGGACGTGTCTGCATGCCCGTCTACTTCCGATTCGTCTACATGGAGAAGGAGCTCTCCGAGCTGTCTGTAACTCCTGAATAATTGATGGCGTGAGCGGTGTGGTGAGCCGGGGTGTCCCGGGTCCCACGAAAAACAACACCGGGTTTCCATAGGGACAGCTGCTCCGAACATCAAGAGATATAGAGTATACCTGATGTCTGTGGTGACAGTGTCCTGGTGACAGATGGTTGACCAGATGTCCTTGTTTTTATTCTTTCCCACTGATGTTTTATTCACTGCCATCTCTTCGCTTTCTTTGTTTCTCATCATTAATTTACATCAGCTCGAATACGTATGAGTTCCCTCCATCTTTTTATTTATTTGAAAGTGTGCTCTGCCTACACCTATCTACAT